ATTTTTAGGCAACATGGAGCAGGGGTGACGAGGAAACTAGAAGGCAGGCAGGCAGGCAGGCAGGCTGGGGACCTGGACTCATTGTTCTCCTCAGCTCTGATGGCCCACACCATGGGACTATGTGTGACATCCTGTGGGGAACGCTGCTGAGGGCAGGGCCAGTCACTGTCCGGAGAGTAGCGTTTCCTGTGTGGAGCTGGAGAGATAGACCTTAGACTAGGGGACGAGAAAAGGGTCTTCCCTGGGAGTTTGGTCTCAGAAACAGTGCGGCCTTGGCATTCCCGGTGCCTGTGGGTAGGGAAGGAAGGTAAGCCAACTTGGCCACAACAAGCAGTAGTCAGATGGCCTACTTATTTCTCTTCCATCATAACCAACCCTTTGGAAAAGTCTCATTCACTTCCTAGCCTGGTGTTCTCTTCTGGGCTGTGAGGGATTGAGGAGCACCTAAAAACCGTCTTTGGGCCCAAGGATCAAAAAGGAGAGGAGGGTCCCCTCCCTTGAGATCAGGGTGAGGGTGGCTGAGGGGACCAACAGCCAAGGACAGTCGTGCCCAGCAGATAGTGTCCTCTAGAGGGCAGCACTGTGGTGCCCTGACAAAGAGGTGGGCAGGCACGAGGGCTGTTGACCATGGTTGTAAAACCACTACAGGGAAACTGCTCAGAAACATCCAGAGAGCTTTCTGAGCGAGAATACTTTCCAAAGATCAACCTTCTGGGGAATTGAATATTGCATGCTGGGTAGCTGTATGGAAAACATTTTTAAAGGAAAAATATGAACTTTTGTCTCTACATTTTCTGTCTGTTCGTTTTCTTCAAAGAACCAATAGAAAGAGGCTATAGTGTTCCTATTGGCTAGAGCAAATACTGTGCCCAGATACCCAGTTGAGGGTTGGTGGACTGTTCACCACATCTCCTCCTCAAGTCTCTATTCCTTCTGCCAGTTCTAAGAAGTGCAGGTTTGCCTCTAGTTTGGAGCCACCAGTACTTTGGAGCATTACTGGTGTTCACCAAAATTCCTCTCCTAGGTACATGGGGAACCATAGTTCTCTGTCTCGGTAAAATTAAGTGTAGCCATGTGTCTTTTTGGCCAATGAAATATGAGCAGCGATGTGTGTCACATCTCAGTGGAAGCATTTAAGAGTGATACACATGCTAGGCGCGGTGGCTCAAGCCTATAATCCCACCACTTTGGGAGGCCTAGGTGAGAGGATTGCCTGAGCCCAGGGATTCAAGACCAGCCCAGGCAACTTGGCGAGACCTCATCTCTACAATAAATCAAAAAATCAGCCAGGCGTGGTAGCGTGTGCCTATAGTTCCGGCTACTTGGAAGGCTGAGGCGGAAGGATCGCCTGAACTCAGTAGGTTGACGCTGAAGTGGCCATGAGCATGCCACTGACTCCAGGCTGGGCGACAGAGTGAGACTCCAACTCCAAAAAAAAAAGTGATGCACACAGTGGCACGCACCTGAAGTCCCAGCTGCTCAGGAGGCTGAGGCGGGAGGATCACTTGAGCCCAGGAGTTTGAGACCACAGTGAGCTGTGATCTTGCCACTGCACCCCAGCCTGGGAGATAGAACATGGCCCTGCCTCTAAAAACTTTTTTTTAAAGAGTGATGTGTGATTCTTCCAAGCTCTCCTTCTAGAGCCTCCTGTTTGGATAAGAGTGTCCTAAGATACTGGATCTTTTGTTAGCCTGGGTCCCTGAGTACCTACAATGAGCAGACCTCACCCTGATGAACCTACATTGAACATGTAGCATGAATAAGAAATAAACCTCAACAAGCCACTGAAGTTTGGGTGCTGCTTGTTACCATAGCATAACATGGCCCATCCTGACTGGTACACATAGTTGTGCTTAACAGAATCTAATGGCACCTAATATTACCCAAGATACTAACTAGTCAGCGAAGGGGTGAGAGAAAAATGAACTCAAAATGGGAACCCCACTCCCTGTTCACGATAGCCCATAATGGCCACGAATTCACTGGGAACTCATTCCAGGCAGCTCCGGATCTGTTTGGCAGTTAGGTAGCTACCATGTTCCCAGAATTCTACTGGGCTGGGTAGCTCTAGAAAAATCTTTCTCCCTGGAGGCTATTTCAGTGTTGATACTTGTTCAAAAATATTCAGCCAAGCAAATGTTCATTAAAAAACTGCCCATCTGCCAGGCTCGGTGGCTCAGCCTGTAATCCCGCGCCTTTGGGAGGCTGAGGTGAGTGGATTGCCTGAGCCCGCAGGTTCGAGACCCGCCTGGGCAGCGAGACCTCATCTCTACAATAAATCAAAAAATCAGGCGGGCGTGGTAGCGCGCGCCTGTAATTCCGGCTACTCGGAAGGCTGAGGCTGAAGGATCACCGGAGCCCAGCAGGTCGAGGCTGCGGTGGCTGGAGCGGCCACTGCACTCCAGTCTGGGCGACAGAGCGAGACTCCAACTCAAAAAAAAAAAAAAAGCTGCCCATCTAACCACCTAGGCAGAACTGGAGCAGCACTTTCAGGCTGACTCTCACGAACCCGCTCCAAATGAAAGGAATGACATTTCTCTCAAGGCAGTATCTTGTTCCTCAGTAACCCAGGCTGCGTGTCTGCTGTGGACGACCATGGTTACCCAAACGCAGAGATCTGGTCTCCTGGATTCTCGTGATCCTTGCTCAGTTACCATGGCCACAACAAACAGTTTGAGTAAACATTTCTGCTCTCAACTCTGATTCTCGCATTTGGAAAGGCATTTGGAGAATCAATTCGCTTTGGAGCATTAAAATCAATCAACAGGTTTAGAGTTTTGAGTAACTGTCACCAAATCAAAACAACACATGCTCTAGGAACCTCATTCCCCACTCATAAGAAAAAGAACGGCTGCTTAAACTCATTTTGACAATTGTTGAAATTTCAATATAGAGACTATTTTAAATAATAGTATCCTATCAACGATAAAGTTCCTGATGTGTTTAATCATGGTACTGTGGATTAGAGAATACCCTTGTTCTTAGGAAACACACGGTGAAGTATTTAGGGGGTGAAGGGTCATGACGCTCACAATGAACTTGGTCAGTAAGAAACAGCAATAACAATAAAATGGAAAGAGAAAGAGAGAAAACAAATATGCTAAAACGTTACCAACTGGGAAACCTAGGTGAATGACCAAGGTGTCCATCTACTATTCTTGCAACTTTTCTGTAGGTTTAAAATTTTTCAAAATAAGAAGTCTTTAAAAAATCATGCATGCTCCAGATAAGCAGCTTTCACATTTTTAACCATAGCCCACAATATAATAAAAATTGTACACAGAAACCGAGTATACACACATACACACATGTCATTTGAACAGATGTATACAAATCAAATAAGAAGTTTCACAAGACAATGCTTACTCTTGTAATATTACATGGGATGCTGGCTTTAAAAAAAATGTAAAACCCATTACACTGAGTTGATGACCACTAATGGTCGAAACTTATTTGAATACTCTGCCCTCGGTGATATTTTGGCAACATTTCTAATACTTAGTACTACGGAGAGACACAGAAGGACGTGGGTTTGGAAAAACCACCTCTTCGAATACAGACAGGAGCCCAGGACATTGAGAAGATTACAGATTTCCAGAATGTTGACCAACGCGGTCGTCATTGCATGCGGTGGAGAGAACAGCTTGAGAAGTATCGAGAGGACATATGGCACTTTTCCTGACTTGAGCTTCATCGGCCATCAGGAATCTGCCTGTTGTGACCAGCTCAGGATGCTTCTGTTGCTGACTACAGAGATGGGCACGGCAGGCTGGCAGAGCCAGCGTTTGGAATACAGCCTGGACCGAACAAGCCCACGTCCAACAAAACAGTCAACCTTCAATCTAGGAACCTCATTCCACTGCAACCCTGAGAAAAGCTGGCTTGGTAGGGCCCCTGAATGGGATTGGGTAGCCTGCCTCCAGGCACAGCATACCCAGAAGCCATGCATGCTCGATGCAGGTGCAGGTTGGCCTTTGCTCTGGCCGCCAGGCCTAGGGGCATCTAGTTGGCCAACTCCCAAGCTGAGAAATCTCTAAATCCCCATTCCCAGCTACTGGTTGCCTCCTTCCCCCTTGTCGTTTGTCAGCCCCAGAGTGTGCAGCCCATAATAATTCCCACACCTAATGGAAACATCCCAGCTGGAGACTCCCTGCTCTGCTAACACAGATTCTCTGTGTCTTCTGGACATGCTGCCCACAAAACGCTAAGAAAAAAAAGATTTTGAGTCCTGCTCGGAGAGTCATAATACATGTTAGCATATGAAAGGCTCTGAAAAGTCCAGTTTAACCTTTTTTTTTTTAAGTCTTCGGATTTTACAAATCTATTTGTGCACAAACACATCCCACTGACCCCTTTTTCCCTACCCTGCCCTAAAGTTCCTTTGTGGCTAAGGCCACCCCTGGGGATAACTATGGAGTAAGTGAAGCAGATCTTTGTTTTAAACACCTCCTAACACATCTCGGATTCCCAGGAGCCACCGCCACCCCCTAGGGTCTAAGCCTCTCTCCCACCTCCCTTCTCTCATGCTCTGTCCACCTTTTTAAAGGTGGCCCCAAGCCCCTGTAGAGAAGGAGGATTGTACTGGAAAACAAAGGGCGTGGGTTTATTGTGTCACCTGGCCAGGAGAATTGGCACAGTTCTTGGTACTCGGCCAATGGATTGACTCTAATTCAGGCATTGCAGGCACTGTTGCCTGGAAGATGGGGGGAAGGGGAGGAGGCGAGGCCCTAGAGGCTTCCGATTCCCAGCCTTTCCACCCCAGGACCCATGTTAATTCTTGCTTTTCTTTTCCAATGGATGCCAACGTGACAAGGGCACAGTGGTCGCCGCTGCCTGGGGTCATCTACAGAGACGAACTGTTCCTTCCACTCTCCACTGTGATTTTCACCACCGGCTCACATCTTGTCCCCTCTCCCGTCACCACAAACACCCCCAAACCCAGTTAACCAAATTTTCCCTCCTCTGGCCAAGGCAGTTTGAGTTACCCCAATGTGGCGGGGTCACTCCATCTGCAGGCCAAAGACCACGTGCTGGGACACGCCGAGCAGGAGACAAGAGGCGAGAAGAAACGTGGGCCTGCAGCCTGAGCGTCCCAACCCACGAGAAGGAAGGCTGTCGTTCAGGGAGGCATTGGCCAGCCCCCCGGTGGTGTTGACCGCCTCCTCCTCGGAGACCCTTGGGGCCAGCAGCCTGGAGAGGAGGCTGCTGAACCTGCTCATGGTGGTGGTCGCTGGTTCTGTGGACGGGCCTGGACTGGACGCCGTGAGGTTCAGCTCCTCGGGGTCCATACACAGGCCATGGGAGGAGCGCCCGAAGGCCACCTGGCTGAGGTCCAGGCCGGCCACGGAGCCCGGGGAGGCGCACGGCACGTCGGTGACGCGCCCGGAGCCCTCCATCCAGTCCCGCAGCCACTCCAGGTGGCAGTCGCAGTGCCACGGGTTGCGGAAGAGGAAGAGGCGGCCCAGGAAGAAGCCGGGCTGGAAGGCGGCCCAGGCCAGCACGGTGAGGCGGTTGCTGTTGAGGTGCAGGGCGAGGAGGCCCGAGAGGTTCTGGAAGGCGCCCTCCTCCACGAAGGCGATGCGGTTGCGGTCCAGGTAGAGCAGCTCCAGCTCCGCCAGGTCGGCGAACCAGGCGCGCGCCACGCGGCCCAGCGCGTTGCCGCCCAGGTTGAGCGTGCGCAGGCGGCGCA